CCCCCTCGGCGAGGCTGGCGCAGGGACCCGCGGGCGAGGGTCCGGGTCCCGTCCACGCTGGTGCCCGCAGCCGTGCCCGGGAACTCCCGGGTCCTGGGGCGAGGACGTCTTCGGGCCACTCCGATCTGCTTCGGAGCAGGAAGCCCTCTCCCTCCGCATCTTTAGCAAACGGAGCCAGGCCCCTCCCTCTGCCCTCCGAGCTCTCCAGGCAGTCACGAGGACTAGTGTGAACCTTGGTCCGGGCGGGTCCAGTCCCTCCCTCCTGGGTGGGGGGCCGGGGGTGGAGAAAGGGAAGGTAGCCCGGAGGTGGCCTCGTGGGTTTCCCTTAGTCTGGGCTTAACACTCAGAGCCCTGCCCAGACGCTCCACCCTCACCCCCCCAACAGCCAGAGTTTAGGGCCACCCCCAGAGGTTTTCAGCGGTTTCTCTTTCTTTTTTTCCTTTTTTTTTTTTTGAGTCGGTGTCTTACTCTGTTGCCCACGCTAGAGTGCAGTGGCACACTCAAAGCCACTGCAGCCTCTACCTGCTGGGCTCAGGCGATCCTTCTGCCTCAGCCTTCCAGATAGCCGGGGCTACAGGCGCACGCTGCCATGACCGGCAATTTTTAAAAGTTGATTAATTGTAGAGAGGAGGTCTTGCCAAGTTGCCCAGGCTGGTCTTGAACGCCTGGGCTCAGGCAGTCCTCTCGCCTCGGCCTCCCAAGATGCTGGGATGACAGGCTTGAGGCCCCGTGCCCGGCCTGATTTGTTTATATTATGGTAGAGACACGGTCTGGCCATATTGCTCAGGCTGGTCTCCAACTCATGGGCTCAGGCATTCCTCTCACCTCCACCTCTCATAGTGCTGGGATTACAGGCATGAGCCACTGTGGCCAGCCGGTTTCTCTTTTCCGAGGTCCGTGGGTCCTTGGGCAGGGACTTGGTGATTGGACACTGGGAATGGGGAGGGAACTCGAGTACAGCTGTTCTGGTCCTTGGCACCCCTGGGAGGAGGCTATTTTGGTCCAGGTCCCCACCTCCCAGCCTGGTTTTCCAGGCCTGGTTAACACCGAGACAGTTTTGCCTGCGACTCTTAACTCCTATCCTCCCAGACGGAGTCTGCCCCCTCTCCTACCTCGTTATCTGTGTTTCCTACTCAAGGACTCCGGGGTTGGGGGTGACTGTGGGGTGACCTGAGATACCTCAGTGACCCGCAGTCTGCCCTCAATGACTGAGGTGGACAGTGGGCTGCACTAAACCCCAAGGGGAGGGAGATCTGTGCTCACCCAGAGATGTCCTACCTGGCGGTTCAGTTCTTGCAGATGTGAACTTCCCCACTTCCTCTATCTGCCAGTGTGGGCCCGTGGAGATCCGCGCAGATGGTAAGAGAACTCCTACAACCCACAGGTCAGGGTTGGCGAGGGTGGGCAGCGGTCCTGGTTCTGGGGCTCCCAGGTACCTCCAGCTGCTCATCTGTCTTGATCCGGAGTGTGTCCTTGCTGCTGGCTAGTGAGGCCCAGATGTGAAAGCTGTGGACAGGCAAGGTAAGGCAGCACAGCCTGGCAGGGGCCAGGGTCTGAGTGCAGTGTTCTGGCCTCTTCCCTCCCAGGCCTGGGCATCCCGCAGCTCCTGGAGGCCATACTGAAGCTGCTGCCCCTGGACACCTACGTGGAGAGCCCAGTAAGAGCTGTTGCACCCTGCTGCTCTGGGCCTCAGTTTCCCCTTCGCCAGACTTCACAGGGCCCGCTTGCCTTGGAGTGGGAGGAGTCCGCATCTTCCCAGGGGGGCCCTGACCCTCATCAGAAGAGCCCTGAACAGCCACCCAACCAGCTGAGGCCCGGAGACACCCAGGGTCTCCGAGCTGTGTGCACTTCCCACAGGCGGCTGTCATGGAGCTGGTCCCCAGCGACAAGGAAAGGGGCCTGCAGACTGCAGTGTGGAAGGAGTACGAGTCCATCCTGTTCCGGGCCAGCTGCACGGTGAGCCTGCAGCCCCAGCTGGAGGGAAGGGGTCTGGGACGCTCTGCGTCTCCTAGAAGCTCCAGAGGAGCAAAAGACAAGGGGGTCCCAAGCTCTGTCTTCAAGTAGCCTCTTACTGGCCACTGTGAGCACTCAGGATCACCGGGTACCTGCTCACCACTGTGGGCTCCTTCCCCCTCTGACCTCAAGCTTTCCACCTGCCTCCCCAGAGCCTGACCTGTTTGCCTGGGGTCTTCGTCCAACAAAGCCCATGTGAATGGGGCCAGGGGGACTCAGGCTGACTGGCCTCACCATCCTTGACCTCCATGGATGGGGTGCCCCTGGTCTAGGTCTCCCCAGCCCCAGTCCTGGCTGTGGTCAGAGTCCTGGCTGGGTGCTGCGTGTCACGTAGTCCATGCCCTGCCCTGCCCTGCCCTGCGAAGGGGATAGGCTTCTTCTCCCAGGCAACCCATTGGCAGGTCTTGGGCAAGACTTTGTTAAGGGGAGGAGGCCAAGGGCTCTCATCTAGGACAGGAGACCCCACAGAATAGCTTGGAAGGACCTGAGGGCCTGCCGAGCTGGCTGAGCGGTCCTTGTCTAGGCAGACACCAAGCAGGGCAGGCGCCTTGTCCACTACTACGTATGTCTCCACCTGTCCAGGTCCTGGGAGTCAGAGTCCAAGTGTCACGCTGCAAGGCTCACACTGGGAGAACCAGAGAAATAAAGCTCAGAGGGCTCCACCTCCTGGTGCCCCCCACCTGCTGAGGACCTCCATGGAGCATCCATGGCTGGCCAGTGAGGGTTTCTGGCAGTTTTCTCCAATTGTGCCATTTGTCTTCCAGAAAGCCCTGGCGAAGATAGAGAGATTTGAGTTTTACGAGCGGGCCAAAAAGGCTTTTGCTGTTGTAGCCACGGGGTGAGTTCAGGGGTGAGTTCAGTCCGACTTAGACTGCCCCCACCCCCATCCCCTTGGCCCTCAGGGAGCTCCCCCCACCCCCTGCTCAGTTTTTGCCTACTGAGACAGAAGTCCCACAAAGGGCGGGACAGAGGTGAGGGATTTGGGCAGGTATTTGCTCAAGGCAGCTGGTCCGTGGACCTTGGTCCAGCAGGTGGGATGAAGGTGGACAGGCTCTGCTCTGTCCCCAAGAAGGCAGAGCAGCAATCTTGGCACCCTGGCCCTGCAGCCCAGCTTGGTGCTTAGCTCAGCTTCTTATGCAGGGAGATGGCCCTCTACGGAAACCTCATCCTCAAGAAGGGAGTGCTTGCCCTCAGTCCTCCATGATGGGCCCGGTGAAGACCCCCCTGGGCCAGAAGAGCCCGGATAATGCCATGCCACTGACCCAACAGCTCTTCCAAGGCAGTACTCAGACTTGAGCCCCAGTCAGGGGCTCGAGGCACCAGCAAACCTGGGCATGGGCCCTGGGGACTGGGACTAGTATCCCTGTGAAACTGATGGAAAAATTGAGCCAGCATTCGGTGTAAAGGCTTAAATAACAGCTCTGCTCTCACTCCACTCCTTTGGTGCTCATGGGAAGCTACTGGTGCCCCCAAGAGTGGCTTCCACATGCCCTCACGAATCCTCAGGTTGGAGACCCATGTGGGAAGTAAGGCCTGGGGCCTGGGGCGGGGCCAGAGGCAAGGGACAGAGTTATCACTAGGTATACTGGTCACTTTGTAAGAAAACCCTGAACTCTTTTCCAAAGTAGCTGCACTATTTTGCATTCTAGTTCCTCCACATTCTCACCAAAACTTGATGTGGTTGGGCCTTTTATTTTCGCCTGTATAATGCACGTGTGTGGTGTTCCATGGGGCTGAGTTTGCATTCTTTGATGCACCTTTCATCTGTCTTCTGTTGGTGACATGAACGTTCAGATCTCTTGCCCATTTTTTGCTGGCACCAGAGCCCTTTAAATTCCCAGCCCAGGCTGGGCGCGGTGGCTCAAGCCTTATAATCTCAGCACTTTGGGAGACTGAGGTGAGAGGACTGCCTGAGCCCATGGGTTAGAGACTAGCCTGGGCAACTTGGCAAGACTTTATCTCTACAATAAACCAAAAATTTAGCCAGGCGTGGTGGCACGTGCCTGTAGTTCCAGCTACTTTGAATGCTGAGATGGAAGGATCGCCTGAGTCCAGCGGGTCAAGGCTGCGGTGGCCGTGAGCGTGCCACTGCACTCCAGCCTGGACGACAGAGTGAGACTCCAACCCTAAATAAATAAATAAATTCACAGCCCATGCTCTTGCTTGGGGTGCCTATGCCCACAAGAAAGCTCTTGGGCTCAAGTAAACATTCAGACTTCCAAGATAAGCTTGGACCACCCTGCCACTGGCTTGTTCAGGAGGGACGTCGGACACTTCGAGGATTTAAGGGGATGAGGGTTGGTGAACAGCACCAGCTGAGAAGCTTGTGTCCCCTAGCTAGTGTCACAGCTCTGGAAGCAAAGCATCCAGGGTCCACTGGGCCACTGCCCTCAGAAGTCAGAGCTGCAGCCCTCGCGGAACAACTCCAGTCACCTCCCAGTGGAGGTGTCCCTTCAGTTAGGCAGGGTTGTCTGGCAACACGTGGAGAGCAGAGGACGGTCAAGGTCAAAACTGGCCAAAGGACTAGATACTCTCTGTTGCTGCAGGGTGTGTGGGTGAGACTGCAACTTAGGGTTTAAGGGAGAGCTTTGGAGGTGCCCCTGACTTCCATGAGAAGCAGGAAGAAGCCACACCCATTTTTTGGTGAAAAAATCTCCCTTCTAGACCCTCAGGCTGTGCCAGATTGCAGGAACTGAGCTGGCCAGTGGCCTCCCACAGAGTCTGTCATGGCCTGAATATTGTGACTGCAAACTCCACGTTGCCCCGGGCACATGCCTCACACTCAGCCTTGCCCTTCTGGAGCTGGAAGGGATGCCCACAGGGGATCCTGGCCAGAGAGAAACTTGGCCACAAACACCATCCTGGGCTGCCCAGCATCCTCCACCTGCCTGGGACCTAAGGAGGGGAAGGGGGGTCGGCTGAGTCAACCCGGGTCAGCCCACCCTCAGCCCTGAATCTGCAGTGCTCCACCACCTACTGCCTCCCGTTGTGATCAGGACGGCAGGCACAGCAACACACCGAGGTGAAGGCTGGGACCCCGGTTCTGCCCTTATTAGGGGGGACCCCGAAGGGCACTGTCTGGGCCTTGGCCAACTTATCGGTGACATGCGGTAACAGCTCTCACTTTGTGGGGTGCACGTGAGCCCTGGGGGCAGTGAATCTCTGCCTTTGGTGTCCCCAAGAGACCTGCTAGGTCATGCAGGGGGCTCTAGGGTACGGGAGGCCCCTGGGTGGCTGCACAGGGTTGGGCAGTCCCTCCGTCACACTGTGCTGTCTTAGCTGTCTGAGCTGGTGAACATGTGTGGCTCTGTCCAGGGGCTTGCAGAAACCCTCTCCCACGCTTGCATGGACCCCAGGATGTGTGCACTGTGTGGACAAATCAGTGCAGGAGGATTGTGCCAGATAGCTAGGACTGCCCAGAACATGAGGACAGAAGGCTGTGTCAGGGCCCGAGTCCTGTCCCACCTACCTGCGTGTGTACCAGGACACCTGTGCATTTGTCCTGAACACCCATCCACTCAGCCTCCCCACTTACTGGTCCTATCCTTTCTGGGCTCCTTCTGTAGGGAGCCCAGAGTAGGTCCTGGTTCTCTGCTGAGACTGGTCCAGTAGTACCCTCTGGTCCCAACCCCTAGCCACCGCCACACCCCTCACCCTCTCAGATGCAAGGGAGAAGAGTGGAGGTTCTGGAAGCCAGGGTCAGATGGGCCTGGTGCAGCCCTAGGGGACATTCTTCTAAACAGAGCAGGCTGGGCCCCAGGATCGCTGGACTCGAAGACACGCGTGCCCTTCAGGTCTGTTTGCAGGTGTTTATTTTTCTAGCTGCCAGAGAGGGTCAGAGTCCCTAAGCCTGGGTCTCAGTGCAGGATGGGAGTGTAGCCAGGACCCCCCAGAGCCCTACTCGGGATGGTAAATGTGGTCTCGGTCCTCCTCTGGCCCTCTGAGGACCCGGCGAGGTGGCATTGCCCACAGCCAGGGTCTCTCCTCGTCCTGGTCCTCCTCTGGTGGGGGGTGGTACAGGTCATCACGGTCCGGCTCAGGACCCCACAGGGCCTTCCGGACATGGCTCAGGATGTCCTCGGTCTCCAGCCTGGCCTCAGCACCTGGGGACAGGCAGGTGAAGGTGTAGTCTCGGTTTCTCTCTTAGCCCTCCGTCTGTCCAAGGCAAAGGACAGTCCCACCAAAGGACTTTGCTGCTGCGCCCTTACCCACACCCCTGCACCGACCTGGCGGCTTCTCCTCAGTGGCTGAGAGCTTGGGCTTGGATGCAAGGAGCAGCCCCAGCAGCTGGTCATCCTTCTCCGGAGGCTCCACTGCGCGGGCACCCCAGGCCCTGCCGGCACAGCTGGTCAGGTCCCCGTGCAGGTGGGGAGTGGACAGAACCTACCCCCAGGAGGGTGCCCACTGCCCTCACCACCATGTTCCCGAGCCCCTGGGGCAAGGGTTGGAGCTTTGGTGAAGCAGCATCCCGAGGGCAAGGGATGTGAAGAAACATCGGCCGAGCCTGGGTAGTGACTGTGTCACTGGCCCTGGAGCTGCAGCCGCCCTGGAGGCTGCAGGGAGCTGAATGAAGGGGACACCTGGGTCCCCAGGTCCCCCAGCTCTGCTGTCTTCTGGCGCTAGACCTTGCTGATAGATTCCTATGGGGCTCGAGTGCCACCTGCTGTCTACTGCAGGGCTCCATGCTCCATCTGCCCAGTGCACCCCCAAGCTCAGGAAGGGCCCAGAAGGAACGGGCCATGGCTTCAGGGAGAACGAGGGGCTTTGGGGACACTTACTTCTCTGTGTCCTGCTCGTGGGACCCATGCTTGACTTGGATGTTGACAGGGACCTGGGGGAGAATCGCAGGTGTAGGCTCAACCCCAGTCCATCACAGCCCTAGGTTCAAGACCGCCTGGGAAAGGCTCCTCCGAGGCCCACCTGGGACTGCAGGTAGGACAGGGCAGGTGCTAAGCACAGCCTGAGGGCATCTCCAGGGGATGCCAGCAGAGCGCGGCCACCCTCAGGTATCAGGGTTACAGGCAGGGAAGTGAGGCCTGTTCCCAGACACCCATTCTGCCTGGACTTCTGACCAGGCCCGGGAAGGGTGGACATCTGCAGGTGAGGGACCCGAACCTCACTTTCTGGCACCTAATTTCCCCACCCCTCACCCCACCTCCTGCCCCTCCTGAGCTGTCATGGCACTGGCTGGTTTCTGCCGGGACTGGCTGGAGCTGCGCCTGCCCTGCCTGTCCTGGCCGGTACCTAGGGAAGGGAGTCAGCCTCTCAGAGCCCAGCCACCCGTAGTGGGGCAACGCGGAGTCTAGGGAGGGAAGCAGAAGGTAAGCCTGGGGGAGGATCAGCACCGTGGGCCCAGCTGTGCCTCTCCCCTGTATCTCTGGACCAGGAAGAAGCTGGCCTCCCTCTTCCTCATGGGCTCTGGTGTACAAGACTCAGGACTTTGGCCCCAGCTGGGCACCTCCCCGTTATCAGCACACTCATGCAGCACACAGAGTCATCCTGACCTTCGAGGCCCAGGTGAGCCACCTCAAATGGGGCCACCTTGGATGCCATCGAAGCCCACCCGCTTCACCTGGGATTGCTGGGCTGTCACTGAGTCCTGCCTGTCAGACCCCAGCGAGGCAGGGCCTGCCCTCTCACCCTGAGGTCCCACCTCGGTGTCCTCAGGGCCTCCGGTGCGCAGGCATCTGGGGTCACCTCAGTGCCCCACCTCTCCTAGGCGAGCTTGGGGTGGGAAGGGAGGGAGCCGGGGCCCTTTCTTAACGTCCCCTGCTGGGGTGCAGAGGTGACAGATGGAGGTGGCGGCCAGGCTAGAGGGGCCCACACATACCTGGGGCTCTGGGGCTGTCCCTGCCTCCCACAGCAGCATAGCCAGCAGGCAGGGGACGAGGAGGAGCCTGGGGAGCCAGAGAAGGGGGTGTGAAGCAGGGCCAGGGGCGGCCATGCCCATTGGCACCAGCTCTGCCGTCCTCCAGGCAGGACCCCGGGGGCACCGGTGGGGCTGAGCACATGCTGCCCGGCCAGGGAAGCCTGGCGGGCTCCTCAGCGGGCATACGAGTGGTTTTATCAGACTCCTCAGCTCCCAGGCCGGGACACGCAGGCAAGAGGGTGAGAAGCTCCAGGCCCACCTGCTCCCAGCCCTCTGAGGCGGGGCCGACTGCCCCACCAGGGCAGCTGCTCCCTACCCTCCGGGCAGTTCCCATCGTGGTGGTACTGCTGGTTGGTGCCAGGGGTTCCAGAGGTTCTGCCATGCTTCTGTGCTGACCTCTGCACAGGGCGTGCATGCACACATGTGGACACAGGCATCCGTGTGCAGCACTGTGGCCACAGCACCCGTGTGTGACCTCGCACACAGGTCCACACCCACGGTGCCCTGGGGTTGTCCAAGGAGGCTCCCCTGAGCAGGCTGGCACCTTGCTCTGTCCCAGAGCTGTGGGGCTGTGACCGGAGGGTCTGTGGGCAGAGCCGTGGGCACTGTTAGGCCGGCAGGAGGGACGGTGGTTTTGTCTGGACATGTGACGTGTGTGTGTGTGTGGGGGTGCGTGTAAGTTGTGTGGAATGTGTGAATGTGTGGATGTCTTGTGGAGACGTGGGGTATGTGTGTGCTGTGTCCATTTGTGTGTGGTGGATGTGTGTGATGTGTACGTGTTCTCTGTGTGTGTGTGGGGACGGGCATACATTTAAGTTGTGTGTCATATGTGTTGGGTCTGTATGCATGTGTGTATGGTGGATATGTGTATGTTGTGTGCAGTGAGGTGTGTGTGTATGTATGTTGTGTGGTGGAGCGTGTGTTTGGGACTGAGGGGCGAGCCTACATTCGGGGTATGTGGGCATGTGGCTCTTCTCGGCTCTGCTGGTGAGGTCTCCATTTGCAGCTGGAGGGTGGGCGGTCTTGGGGTGAGGTGGGAGGATGGGCATCCCAGGGGTCAGCAGCATTGCTAATCAGGGCTGTGTATGGGCCGCCCGACAGGCTGGGTTTGCAGCCCGCAAGACCTTCGCTCCTTCTCAGGATGACTCAGCCCTTTGGGGGTGGGGGTTCCTTGCCCACTGCGGGAAGTCGAAGGGGATATGGGCGATGCCCTGGACCACCCCCGGTGGGGACCTGGCCAGTCAGGCGCTCCCACCTCTCCACTCACAGAGTCCACTTCTGATGCTGTGTCGGGGGCTGATGCGGGGCCCTGGTTCAGGAACCTAGATCTCACTCCCTCCCCAAGCCCGCCTGGCCATCCCTGGAAAGCACCTCCCAGGACACAGTCCGGGGCCTCATGAAGCTGGACACGGGCAGCCCGGGGGATGGCAGTGGTGGGCACTGAGCAGCCCGCCTGGGGCACCCCCATGGGTCCCTCTTCTGGCAGACAGCTCTGGACACCAAAGAGTCCCCAAGTCCCCCAAGATATCCAGAGGCCCACCTCTCCACAGGGGGGCATGGCCTCTGGTTCAAGCTGGGGTCCCAAGGAGATCTCCCAGGAAAGGCAGGAGAGGGCTCAGGCTTAGAGGAGAGGAAGAGGAGGAGGGAGAAGGGGAGAAGGGAGAAGAAGGACAGGGACCCCCCACAGGAGGGCAGCCTGTGATCCCAGGGTGAGGCGCGAGCCCAAGTGCTTCCCAGAGCTCCAAACCCCACTCCCAGGGTGACACACCCCAGCCCCCACGCCCAGCTCCTGCCTCTGACCACCTAACATCTTCCCTGCTAGCCTCTGATCACCTAATACCCTCTCAACCCTCCACTCGCCTTTCTTCTGGGCAGTCGCAGACCAGCCCGCTTTCAGCCAGGTGACTCCCCTTTCTCCAGAGGGTCACTGGATGACTCTCCGCGGGGTCACGGGATCCAAGGGGACAGTGCGCTCTCTCACACATGTGGGGGCCACAGAGGCTGCCCTCAGAGGCAGAGCCTGGCACAGACCCCAGACCATCAGAGGGGCCCTCGTCCCTCGCTCCCAGATGGACACTCCCCAGAGCCAGGCCCCTGGGACCGAGGAGCCCCCCGCCTAGTCTCTGAGCCAGGGCTCCTGGACCCGCAGCCCTGTGGGCCTGTGCTGGCCAGGGGTGGGGCACCAAGTTTTGGGGGAGGTGGGGCGGGCGAATAGGTCCCAAGGGTGGTGGGCATTACCTTCGCATGTCTAGTGACCCTGTCTCGGTGTCAAGGGTGCCCTGGGAGAACCACGTCACTGATCCAGGTATCCAGGCTCCTGGCTCTGTTCCTCCCTACTGCTGCTCCGGTTTTATTGCCCACGTGGGTGTGTCTGGACAGAGGTCAGGGAACAGAGATACCACACTGCACAGCCCAGGTGACTGGGTCTACAGCCACCCAGTCCACTCCAGCCTAGGTCCCAGCCAGGACACCCAGCTGCTGCCCTCAGAGACCCTCCACACCTGACTGAGGAAGAAGATAAACTTATCTGAGGAGCAGGAGCCGCCTGAAGCTATCAGGTACAGAGAGGTGCTGAATGGGTGCGACCACACCCCACTCCCCCTTGAGCTAAGGAATCATCTTTGAAGCCCATGCTATGTGGGCCAGTAGCCACAGATTATCCTGACACTGCCACACACCGGCTGCCATTACTCACGCCCTGTAGTTCGACAGTGGACTGCCAATCACTAATCAACGTTCCCTCTGTAAACCAGTGAGATCCCAATAAACAACTGGCCTCAGCCCGTTCCCTGACCCCCTTTTGCCCTTAAAAACCTGCTTGTGGCCGGGCTCGGTGGCTCAGCCTGTAATCCCAGTGCTTTGGGAGGCTGAGGTGAGTGGATTGCCTGAGCCCGCGGGTTCGAGACCCGTCTGGGCAACTAGGCGAGACCTCATGTCTACCATAAATCAAAAATGAGCCGGGCATGGTAGCGTGGGCCTGTAGTTCCAGCTACTTGGAAGGTTGAGGCGGAAGGATCACTGGAGCCCAGCAGGTCGAAGCTGCGGTGGTCAGGAGCATGCCACTGCACTCCAGTCTGGGTGACAGAATGAGACTCAAAAATAAATAAAAATAAAAAGCCTGCTTGTAACAAAGGCCGACAACAGAGCTCACATCCTGGCAACTCGGAGGCATGCCCCAGGCAGCTGTGTGTGTGTGTGTGTGTGTGT